GTAGACATGACACCAGCTGGTTTGTCAGTCAGCACACAGCACCACAACATCCTTATATATTCACATCAAGCTACGGCAAAATATGTGTTTAATGTGACTAGAAAATGCTAACATGCTTAACTCAATTGTGGGGATGGTAAGAATACCTGATGAACACCTGCATTTGTGCATTGCCATTATAAACATATGTAAGCATATCCTTTAAGTAGATAATAGTAACCCCGAATTACTAATGTGATGTAATTTCTCATCAGAAACATCAGGACGTTACTAAATGGATTTGAACTCCCTGAAGACAGCATCACTGCCAGCAACTACAATGCAGCCCTTCATCATCTGAACAGCTCCAATCCAGATACTGTTTTTGGACTGGACATTAAAACCTGTGACATGCAGAAACTCCTCAGTGAGGTGCCTATTTTAATGAAAATCTATTAAGTTCCCATGATATTATTATTATTATTATTATTATTTTATATTCTAATCTGCATTGTGTTTGTTCAGGGAGTGGAGGGAACAGGTCTGGCCTTTATAGTCTTCACTGAGGCCATTACCAAAATGCCGGGTTCCCCAGTCTGGTCTGTCCTGTTTTTTATCATGCTTCTCTGCCTCGGACTCTCAACACTTTTCGGAAACATTGAAGGAGTCGTAGTCCCTTTGAAAGACTTGAATTTATTTCCCAAAAAATGGCCCCATGAAATATTGACTGGTAACTTAGCTTTATTTTAGTTTATTTTATCTACATTTGATGCATTCCTCAGAATTTTACATTTAAATTGAACATTTTTAGAGTTTCTTGCTGGATTTTTAACATAAGATCCATTGTTCTTATTTTTTAGGAGCAACATGTTTTGTATCCTTCATCATCTGCCTCCTGTTTGCACAACCATCAGGAATTTATTGGTTAACTCTCTTTGATAACTTTGCTGGATCTGTTCCACTGCTGACCATTGGATTGTTCGAGATGATAGCTGTTGTTTACATCTATGGCATTGACAGGTTAGTAGTGCTTCCATTAATTTCAGCTGCATATTTGGAAACTCAAGTAAAGTGTCAGGAAGAGTAGCTTTACATTTCACTACTATTAAGCTGCATAAGGTAGCTCAGCTTTCTGCAAAGCACAAAGAACAACGGGGTTAGCTTGGTGCAGGCATTTCAGCACATATCAAGCTAAAACAAACAGTTCAGGTATTAAGGGAAATACCTGAACTTAGACATTAAGATTCTTTGTCCGTTTGGAAAAGCAGCATCAAAAAGTGGTAATTTTTTGTATAACATGATGTGAACCTAACTGAAATTTTCTTGTTTGGCAGGTTCAACGAGGACATAAAGTTCATGGTTGGGCGAAAGCCTTCTATTTTCTGGCAGATTACGTGGCGATTTATCAGTCCTCTGATTGTCCTGGTTATTTTGGTTTTCTACCTGGTGACTCAAGCCCAAAAGCAGCTCAACTATCTAGTCTGGGACATAAATTCTGTAAGTTTGCAACCACCATCCTAGTTACTGAATCAACTTAAGCACCTCCTCTTTGTTTTGCTTTGTATCTTAATGTTCACTGATGCAATTATATGGCGTCCCAAATGTTTATATTTATCATCATAAGTAAAGTCAAAAGACAATAAGCAAATTGGCAGCAGTCACATAGCTTACCAGTTTGAAAAGTTATTGCATAAACTCATAATAGGTTGTTGGATTTTTTTCATTGTTCTTTTACAGGAGACATTTCCAGCTTTGACATCAATACCCTACCCCTCATGGATCTATGCTGTTATCTTCCTCTTAGCAGGAGTCCCCAGCCTGGTAGTGCCTATGTACGCATTATGTCGGCTGATCTTTGTTTGCTACAAGAAAAAAATGTCATCCAGACTATAAATGAATACATCAGAGAACAAAGAAGAATTCAGGATTATTTAACAGCGCGTCCTGCATCCAGCATCACGCCAAAACATGTAATAGGCATGTTGGTCCACGGTGTCACGCTGTGCAAGAGTGAAATGGACACACGTGCAGTAATGGCAGAGGGAGGTATTTTATCTCAAGCCACCATGAAAATAATCATGGGAACGCATTTGAACAGACATTACTAACACATTTAAATGTAAACACACATTAGCCACCTAGCTTAATCTGGCTAATAAAGGACCCTGGTGTACTCCATACTTCACTTCATTGTTCACTAGCGACTTCTTGGCCTTAAATATATTATCTCCCCCTGCTGGTACTGCAACATCTGCACGGTGGACTGGCGTGTCTATTGCATTGCTGCTGTGATACCGGGTTCAGTTAAAACTATTAGGCTACTTCAGAATATATTGCATTGAATTATTCTGAATATGTTACTTTCCAGACCTTTTGTTGAGGATATTCTCGAGCTACACCCTCGTAACTTCTTATTACATATCCATGTTATAGAAGAATAGTTTTTAATCTTGTTGTAGATTTGAGGAAACCTATAAAATTGATGTCTGCATGCACTTAAGCTGTTATGAAGGCCCAACACTAAGAAGCTTTTTTAAGCTGACCCATCTGTATACGTGTTTACACTGTCATGTGAATAAGAAACAAGCATCGCACAGGTCAGAGAAAAACTAGATAGACTTCAAGGAATTAAAAGGGTATGTAGTAGCCAGGTGCTGCTGATCAAATGCACTTGATTATCTGATCATCAGCAGCCTTGATGCATGCTCAATTGTCAAGACTGCTAATTAAACCCCAAAAGGTTGATTCTGTTCATCTGGCTGTAGTGTTTTCAGTGGGAGAAACATTTCGTCACTCATCCAAGTGACTTCTTCAGTCTCAGCTGACTGCAGGTTTCCCCAACATAATAAACAGTACATTTGCATAATGACTGAAACTACCTCACTGAATGAACAATGAATCAGTTCCTTAATCATTAATATGTAAATTGTCATGACCACTGATCAACAACCACTGTCCAGGAGTCAAGGAGGTCTTTGCTATGAGTTTAATTTCCAAGATCTACATTTGATGCTTTGACATGCCTTTCTTTGCTTTGTACTATCTCTCCTTTCTTTTATGGAACCCTGTCTTTACTTTTAATGAAGTCATCCAACAGTCTGGATGCAGTGGTACCGCTCCCCACCAAACCATTCCTTGAAATAAAGATATGAGATACCGCTTTTTAAAACTAATGCTAAGACATAAATATGTTTATAAGTGCTTTGTGAAGCAAATATTCTTTTATGGTGATAGGCTAATAATTTTCATTTAAAAAGTGACTAATTGACAGATTCATTTCCTAAAGCACCCAGAAAATAGTAGAACAGACAACAGTTGTTAAGCAAATTCATCCTGAGGTTTGACTGCGTCGTGCACAGAGAAACTGCAACAAACCCAAGACTCTACAGGCCTCAGTTAGCATACATTTGACGTATTAAGGAGAGCTATTGCTGTATATAATTGTGCAAGTTTTAATATTTGATCTGTTTATATGTCTTCTATACTATGTTGCTATATTAATCTTCAAATGTGTCCTATTAAATCAACGGTGTTGTTTTTGCTTTTATTCCTGTGGCTTTGTCTCTTCTGTTTAAAACATTTTTGTAAGCTTTGAATGAAATTTGTGTGAAATTATCACATTGAAAAACTGAATGGTTATAGACAAAAGTCAAAGGTACAAACTGTGTCCCAGTTAAAATGTATAGCAATATTCAGTATTACCATGTTCTCCTATTTGTACTCACTAATGTCCCAGTTTCACTAGTAGATGTGACTTCTGTGCTTCCGTACACTCGTGGACACCGTGAGATGGGTACTTTCTAACCCAGGTTTGGATGTCTGGATCTCCACTCATGAACATTTGGAGAGGATGTTGTACACAGAAGTTATCTTGAACGTCACAGATTTCACAGCAATGTTAATGTTTTTTCACCAACATGAGAATGACGAACATCCTTATCATTATTCTTTCCAAAAATAATTCCTGGTCTTTGCAACAGCAGCTAAAAGAAGAGATTAATGTGTCATCTATTATTGGGTTCAAGTGAATCTGCTAGCATGTCATATTAATAATTCTCAAGAATGACCTCATAGGTTTTTCTAAAGTCCACAAGCTTTTGGTTTGTTCAGATGAACTCGGCAAACCTAAGAGCAATGCTGCCGTGTACTTTGTAGAGAGAAGACGCTCTCTCCTGGTAACGTCTCCACACAAGTCATGCTCATTTGCTCTTTTTCTAATTATACTGTCAGGATTTACTCAAAGGAATTTCATCTGCTTTTCAAGCATGCTGCTGATTCAACATTTTCATTTAGTGGATTTAATTTAATTGTTTAATTTGCACACTATACATTATATAATATTTTGCATAGAAAGGTTAATACTGTATTTCAAAGGTGCAACGTCAGCTTTCTTACAAGTTTATTATTCATAGAAATGAAATGGAGATAAGGAAAACACATTGTTATTTTATTGCTGTGTAAAGCTAATTGGTTAGTTTTATAGTATGAAGAAGGCCGATTTGACCATAAAGGTTACTGAGCTTTCATTTTTACATTTATTTTTAACTTTCTTCCTCACATATGTAAACAAGTTGTCATCATATGGCATTATAAAAAAAACGGATTACACGATTTTAATACTTCCACTAACACTACCCTCACCAGTTATTCCACTAGCATTTATTTGCTTGCTTGTCATAACCTCGGGTAGTCTACATCACATTTAGTGATGTAGCGCTGTCGAAGAACACGACTGTCGACCTGTACAGGGCTATGAGACCATCAGCAAGAAGCTGATGAGGAGAGAAGGTGACATCTTTCGGTGCATTCATTCAAAAATGGAAGAAATATAAAATGATTAAAAGTAAAGTGTGCGTGTTAGTCCCCATAGGGAAATAGTTCCTCTGCATTTAACCCATTCACCCAGTGAAGCAGTGGGCAGCCACCAGTGCAGCGCCCGGGGAGCAGTGTGTAGGGACGGTACCTAGTGGAGTCGAACCCCCGACCTTCCGATCATGGGGCCACCACTCTACCTACTGAGCTATCCCTGAGGGCAAATTAATCATTTGCCCTCATTCTGGATCTCCATGCAAGACTTGGTCTGATGGGGTTAGTGTTTTCATGAAGCGTAAGAGCCTGTTATGGGTCAATGGAGTTATCTATCTTTTAACAGGAATTCTCAATCCTACGGAAAACAAAGTTATAGAGAGAAAAAGCTAAAACAGGTCTTTTTTAATGTTGTAGCTTAATGGCAGATTATTAACAGACGGTGTATTGTTCCATGCTTTAATCCCATTAAAGTTCATACATTTAGTTGAACCTGGACAGAGTATCATCCTGTACAGTACAACAGTACATTATCTCCATCATATTTGACAGACAATATGGTATTCCTCAAATCTCTTTCTCCATGCTTTTCCTTTCTCATCATTCTAATAGAAGTTAATCTGGGTATTTTCTGTTCAAAGACCTTTTCCTTTTCTTTTTTTTCAGAACTGTTTAAGGTCACATGAATGTTTTTTGAGTGCTTTGCATCTTTTTGTAAACTCGCTGTATTTCCATTCATGAAATTGGTGTCTCTTCATTGTAGACTTTGATAGTGGTACACCTTCCTCCTCAAGAGTGCTCTCGACATAGTTATATTTTGTGAAGTCTTTTTTCTTAACCATGAAAATAATTCTGTCAACATGCTGAGCAAACCGGTGCTTTCTTTCTTTTTGTACCAGATTGTTAGTTTGGTATTCTCTAATAGAGATGTTAAGGAAACTGCTTCCAGTGTGTTTCCCAGCTTAAGAAATTAGGAAAAAATTCAGCAAACACACAACACAGAGTCTGAGAAATGCGTCTGGCTTTTCTATTGATCCACCTACTGAAGCCTCATCAGATAATGGCCTCAGTGGGGGGCTGTGGCACAATACTAAATGTCTGCAAGTGTCTGTGAAACACAGTGAAAACTCTGTCATGCATTTGCCTCAACAGAGCCCGGACCTCGTGTGGGATCATGTTGACAGAGAACAAAATAAAATGCTGCCAACATCCAAAAAGGAGCTTTGAGTGTTCTTCAAGAAGCCTTTCTGAAGACTGTTTCTGAAGGACAAAAAAGTTTGCCTAAGAGAGTTCAGGCTGTGTCGAATAAACATAGTCATACCAATACTGACTTGTGTATATTGAGCTGTATTAAATCACTGCACCTATTTCCTATTTTATGGGAAACATGCTAACAGTTATAGCAAAATATAACTTTGTAGAGCTCTATCCATAGTTAAGTGTTAAAGGTGTTTTGTGAATAATTCACCTTCCTTAGACTCATAAAGTGTAATCCAGCTGTAGTTATTTCTTTAGAAGTAATGATTAAGAAATGTTTTTAATCTGTCCACTAGGGGGCAGTGTTTTATTAGTAAGTTTTAGTGATGTTGTTGTTTACTCCCCCATGTAGTAAGAAATTAGTATATTAGAGGGGCAGCTCAAGTTAAGCAGTTTGGATACAAAGTTAGAGAGGCAATGCTGAGATGGTTTGGACACGTGCACAGGAGGGTTAGTAGAACACCTGCAGCAACAGATCTACAACTTCATATATAGCAGCTTCTCACTAGTTCATTATTGCTTCAGGATTACTTTAGTATTGCCGACTGTATCCATGTGCCATAAAAGTGATGCATCAGTGCATCAGTGCAATAGTTATTCAGTAGGTCTTTAGTATCTTTACAGTTATTTCCATAATGGTAAATCAGAGACAACAGGAATCTTAGAACATGTTTTCATCGACATATTCAGATCAAACACACTCATAAGTTTCATGTTTTTATTTTTGTTTTTTGTTTTTAGTAGTGTTAGAATTTAGCTTAACTTAAAGATTTGACACAGAACCTGGCAGGAAATGCAAGAAATCCCAAACTCAAGCTACATTTATACAGGATATTAAGTGTTTATGTATGTTTTATTTATCTGATAGCTGAAACAGAAACAAAGAGAAA